ACTTTGAACTATCTAGATAGCAACACCCACTTCCTGAAATATATTTTCCTACTCTGACCAGAGCAAAACTAAAAACTTGATTACTAAGCTAAAATAAAATGAGCTCACACAATCAGACATACATTCTATGTAACAAAATGCCTATCAAAGAATGCTTGAATCCAAGATACATAAAATACTGACATCAAAATCACAAGACAAAAGAACCAATGACAAACCTGATAATTTGTTCTTGTTTTTCAATGATGCAGCTAACCTTTAACTATGAATAACCTGGAACCAGAAAGCTGACCTACTGGGGTGGAAAGAACTCCAATCTAGAAATCAAGAACATGGATTCTGTCCAGCTGATGCTACTAGGTAGGTAGGTGGCCCCAAGCAAGTCTCACCTTACCTTCTGTTCCTCTCAGGGTTTACGTTTCTTGTTCAAGAGGTTGAAAGGACCCACAGTTCCCACTCTCGCCTAGCCATTAGAACAATCTCAGAGTAACTTAACCAATTCCACGTCCTCTTCCAGTTCAGGAGTCTCTGAGTGAAGCTGAGGACCTTACTCTTAATAAGTAACCCAAGAAAATCTTATCATCTGGTTAAAAAAAAAAACATTAGCAAACACTGAACTGGAAGATCCTCAAGCAGCCTGTCTTCCAGCTCTGATCCTTTACTATTTGGATATTTCAAAACAATCTTCTAAAACCATAAATAAATTATATGAGTTTAATGTATGTAACTGCATGCCAAAAAACAAACAAAAAATCATAAAAATAAACAGATCCACTTCCCATGACACCACTCATACCTTTAAACATAAAAACATCCTCCTAGATTCTAGGTAAATGGGACAGTTAATTTGGTAAGGGGAAAATTTTTTTTTCATATTACACTCTCAGTATATAGAGACATTTTGGGAGTTGTATGACTGATGAGAAATGTATGACTGATGTTGTAAGTAGAAACTGTACATTGCATTCTTGCTTTGAAGAACATTATCTGGTGATCCCACCTGTTCCTAGCTAAGAAATAGCCAGAAAGAGCTTGGCTAAGTCCCTAGCAGCTGTAAACAGCATGCCCTGCAATACTGGAATGCAATTATTACAAAGCTAAAAGAAAAACAATGAAACAATAACTGGTTACTAATTCTTCAAAGTCACCTCAGTGTAGACAACTGAGTGGTTCAAGAGTCTACAGTCCTTTGTTAGAAAAAATCATATCAGGTAAACGGCCTCCAGCGCACTTTCTACACGTAAAAAAAAAAAAAAAAAAAGCAGTTTTTAATTGAGTTTTTCTTCCCCCTGCACTATTTTGCTTTACACAGTTTTTGTAAAATCTCATAATCCTCCAGTGGGATTTACTGAGTTTATTTTCTTATTTAGATTTGTAAGTAACTACAAAACTAACAAAAGAAAAAGAGAAAGATTGATTGCAAGGAGCTTAGTGAGGCGGAGTAATGAAGGATGCTCATTAGCAACCAATTATTACACTGTAGCTACAAAAAATGTCAATAAAATCAAGATTAAACCAGAAAACTGAGTTTGACAAATTACTCTGTGACCCTTGCAACAGAAACAGATAAGAAACCCAGAGAAACATTGTTACATAATTTAGCTATTGGAAAAACAGTTGTAGAGCCGCCTACTAAAGTATCACACTGGTGCAGTACAATGTTACTGTAAATTTTTCAAAATGAATCTTGGTGCTTGATTTGCAAATGTTATGAGTAGAATTCTTTGGATTTAAGGTCACACAGGCCAAAAAACTGATTTGCTTCAAGGACAAAAATGGGGACAACTGTTATGTGCAACATCACAGAAGCATTGGATTTAAAAGTCCATATGTGTGTTCAAATACATTTATGTGTCTATTGCCCAACGAGGTTCTATGGCAATGTTGGCAAAAGACCAAACCTCACACTCAGTAAAATAAAAATGTAAAATCAGAATCAAGAAGACTAGTATAACAGAATGTTTAAGAAAGCCGGACATACAGTTTGGTGTCAGTGCTTGCCTAACATGTGAGAGGTCCTGAGTTCAAACACCAGCAGGGCAAAGAGATCAAGTTCTGGTGTCACACAGACATGAGTTAAAACCCCCAATCAACTAATTACTATATGACCTTTAACAAATCATTCAATCTAAATCTCAATTTCCTCATTTGTAAAATGGGGATAATGTATCATTTGGCCAGGTACATAATCATCATCATCTTCAAGATCAAACGATAAAATTAGCATAATTACTATCTTACTATCAAGTAAAACTAAGAGTTTCCTAGAAGCCAGTTTAAAAAAAAAAAAAGTTTTAGTTATTAGAAAGACACACATATACTTACGTAAAGATAAGTTTTTCTTTTCATTTTACAGAACCTTCTATTTTCCCCTCCTTAGCAAAGAATAACTCAAACTTAATTCTAAACAACTTTGTAAAAGAAAGGCTTTTTAATTAGGATGGCAGTTTTCAATGAGATCTGGATTGGTGATCTACCCAATTCAGGGTCATGCTTTGGTATTCTCAGAGGTGTTTATTTAGTTGTGATTTTTAGAGATGTTAGGAGAAAAGGGAAGAAGGGAAAGTATTTAAAAACCATCACACACACTGTTAACACATACATAGAAGGTTGACAGTTAAAATTACGTCATGCTTGAGATTGGACAATGAAGAACAAAGTCAGATGAAATGTTTTAACTCACATTAAAAAGAACTCATGTAACTGATAATAAGGTTAAAGTGATCAAATTCATCAAAAAAAATAATCCAAGAAAGAGAAAATAAGAAATAAATTATTCCTATAGTTTAGATAACACTCATTCCATCCTTTTAAGATCATGGCTTAAATTTGTAATGAATTGTCTTTGTCTGCTCTTCCAAATATGCTGCTGGCTTGAATGTAGCTTTAACTTGCATTATCTTCTTAGCCACACACTGTACATCATTTTGAATATGACCAAAAATAAAATCCTATGCATTATCATTTTTCTAGAATTCATGGAAAAATATTAGTAACCCAATCATATAAAAAGATGTTTCAAAACATACTATAGGAAGTGATTTTGGAGGAAAAAAAATCCTTCTTAAAAATAAATTGGTCAGGAAATATGTTCAAAGACAACCAAAAATAAATTTCAAAATCATGCAAATTTTAAAATTTTGAGTAAGATTCATAAGCTTTGAGGTCAATAACTAAATTCTCCAAGAAAAAAAAGATACAGAAGTTAAGAAAAATCTCCAGCAGGAGTACTAACTAGTATTATCAATCCATAATTTGATGTGCAAAATTTCTGAATAAAAAAAGTTATCAGTGTCAATATTGGGAAATTTAATCAATGAATTTCAGAGGCATTTTCAGTATTTCAAGACATCTTTCTTGTTACAGATTATACTGCAGAATAAAGGAAGACACTGGTTAGATGCTCTAATTAACAACTTAGCAGAGAAAGAACAATGACACTCTCAAAAGAAGCTCTGTCACTAGAGATATTGGACATTTTCTTTTTACTACTTAAGCATCCAGAAGAATCTCAGTCTGCTTTTAAATGCAAATTACCAAGCTCTGAAGCACATTCTGCTCTATTTTTTTTTAATATGAAAATTACCGCACTGTGATCCTGTTTTAGAGAAGACACCATTACTCCCCAAGAAAAGAAACTCTGTATGTTCACACACTCTCTACAAATAACATTCAGAGAATGTGCTGCAGATACACATCTAGTGAGCTGTCACCAGGTACACAAGGCCTTTTTCAGGGGAGAGACCATTATTAGTAATCAAAATTCTATTTGAAAAAGGAAAGCTTAGTTTTGAGGACCTATCAGGTCATGAAAGGTTACAGGTACTTCAAAACATTCACATGAACTAGCATTACAGGAATTACAAAACTCAGCATCCCTTGATTTTCAAGTAACATTATTTACTGGAATTTCAATAATGATAGTATGAGTTGCTATTTACCTATTCACAACATGATAAAACAATATCACAATTCAAGAAATGATGTACTATATATACACAATGAGACTGCACCTTTCTCTTCCCTGTTAAACACCCTGAAACAGGGAGAGTTGGTCATATACTTCAGTTTAATGTATTAGTGATTGAAGTTAAAAAAAAAAAAGAACACTTTTTAAACCGGACAGAGGCAAGAAATCAACCATAATTAATAAAGGAATTCATCCACTGTCAAAGGTTCAAGCTTTCTGCCAAAACCACACCTGCTTTAGGAAATTTCATTTGTTGTCAGGTAAATGGAAACAAATAATGAAAACAGCTAAAGCGATACACCTCATAAAAGGTTAACTTACCTCCAGTCTTTCCAAGTTATATATTAATAACTTTGGCTTTTTTCAAAACCATCTTTTCTAAAGCTAAGGCAAGTCACACCCAAAGTGAGTGTATTTTTTGATGCTAGTTGGTTTACCCCATCCTCCACCTTCCAAGCAGACCTCAATTTTCCCCACAGGTAGCCAAAGACCAGGACCAGAAACTATAAAATGTTCACTTCCAATCTTTGAAACATCAATGTGGATGTTTAAGGAGAAAAAGGATAGCACTGGGTTTAGAAAAGCTTTCCAAATGCTTGCCATCTGTAGTGTCAACCAAAGGGCATGGCATCACCCCCTACTTTCACTTACCCACTCAGAATCCAGGCAAAGATGCAGCAGCCCCTTAAAGACAAGAGACTGGGGCGGCAGGGACTGGAGTGGGGGGGGTGCGGGGAGCGAGGGGGCGGCGGGAGAAGGGGTATCATGCACAGAAATTAGAAACCTACATTTTGATAATGGGAGAAACAGTAAGTAATGGCAGTCTTGTGCTCTTTAAAGAACCTACAAGCGCTTACTAGTTCAATCCGTCCCCAAATCCATGCCACCCTTTCAACTTTGCAATTAGGAGAGAGCAGGAGAAATTCCGGTCAACTCGCCTTGGGGGGTTGGTCTGAGGCTATAGGACTGAAGTAGGGAGGAGGATGGAGAAAGAAAGAGCAAGCCAATGAAAGATACCAAAATTTCCCACCTTTCTTAAATTCTTCCAGCATAGCGTCCAACTTGGTGTCATTGAAAACAAAGTGCAAGGGGTGGTTATAAAATTTGGTGATGGTTTTCAATGGAGTACAGTCATCTGGATCCACGAAGGCCAAATCTTTGACAAAGAGCAGGTCCACGATATTGGAGCGCTCTCCTTCAAATACTGGAATTCGAGTGTAGCCGCTCTCCATGATTTCCGACATGGTGTTGAAGTCCAGGATGGCCTCTCCGGTGATCATGAAGCAGTCCCGAAGGGGAGTCATCACATCCTCTACTGTCTTGGTGCGGAGCTCAAGCGCTCCTTGGATAATGTTCAGCTCCTCCTTGACCAGGTCATTGTAGGGGTCAGTGACCCGGAGCATTTCCAGCAGTTTTTCCCGGTTATACACGGTACCTATCTCCTGGCCCAGGACGCAGTCCAGCAGCTTGCTGACCGGGTAAGAGGCGGGGAAGGTCATCATCATGAAAAACTTAGTGAGGAAGATGGTGTTGGCTCCTACTGCCAGGCCATGCCGGGAACAGATGGCTTGGGGCACGATCTCCCCGAAGATGACGATGCCGATGGTGGAGACCACCACCGCCACGAGGCCTGAGCCGGCGATGTCGTCGAGTAGGATAGTGAGCGTGGTGTTGACCAGCACGTTGCCCAGCAGCAGCGAGCACAGCAGGTAGTTGCCCTGCCTGCGCACAGGCTCGATGCGTTTGGCGTAATTCTTCTCCTTCTCGGTGCCGCAGTTCTGCACGATGCGCAGCTCCATCGGGTCCAGGGCCATGAGACCCAGATTGAGGCCACTGAACATGCCCGACAGGCACAGCAGCAGCGAAATGAAGATCACCTGCAGCCAAAAGGGCAGCAGAAACTTCTTCTCCTCGCCCACGATCATCTTGGTGTCCTCGCCGTCGTGGTAAATCCAGGTGGTCTCGGCCCACGGAGGTGGGGGGAGCCCAGCAACCCCTGCGCCACCCTTTCCCCCGACGGTGCCACCCGTGGACCCCGGGCCGCCGGCACCCAGGGCTGGCGTGGAAAGCGATGTGCACAGGTAATAGGACTTGCTCTTCTCCATCTTGCGCAGCGGTTTGATCTCGATCTCGATGATGCCCGATGTACGGCGGTTCAGAATGATGTGGGGCAAGATGATGATGTCTGAGGTGCGGATGCCGCAGCGCTGGGGGCCGCTGTCCGGCTCTGGCGGCACGGGGCCCCCCAGCCCGCGCTCGCCAGGGCTGTGGCGGCGCCGCTCGTGCTCGGTGAAGGCGATGCGGGACCACGTCTCGTTGTTGATGTTCTGCCCGTACACCCGCAGCTTGACCCGGGTCCGCTCGCTCACCCGCAGCGCCCCCCCTTCCATGAACGACACGTCGTTCGTGTCCTCCAGCCGCAGCCCGATGATCACAGTCTCCTCGTTCTCGCCGGCCGCTGCGCAGCCGCCCGCGCCGCAGCAGCAGCTCAGCAATAGCAGCGACAACAGCCGGCCCGCCGCCGCCTGCAGGACCCCCCGGCCGCGGGCGCTGAGGCTGCGGCGCGCCGCCATCTTCCAAGTGGGCAGTGCGGCGACTGCCTGCCCGCCCGCCATCTTTACTTCGGGTTCACAAGCGCCACAGCCAATCATAGGGTGGCTGCTTTAGCTGCGGCTTCATTCTTCCCACCCGGCGGCGCGAGCGCAAGCACCGACCCCTGGGCAAGACTGCAATGGAGCGTCCGCACCCAGTGCTCAGCAGTCTCCCTCCCTGACTGACACTGACTCGGCCTCGACCAGCTAAGGAACCCCGAGGCTCGCGGGAGGAGGGAGGGGGAGAAAGGGGAGCGCCAGTCGCTCCCGCGAGAGGCAGGCCAACCAGCCAATCATAAGCGGGTGCCCGCCTTCCCAGCCAGGGGGCTGGAATGGGGGCGTGGTCGTGCTTGGTGCCGCGGACCAATGGCAAGGTAAATGGGCGGGGTGATGAGAGCCACTGTCCTCCTCAGCACGCCAAGTTTCCAACTGAAAGGCGCGTGACTCTTGTGTATGTGCGAGGGGAGGAGGCGTGGCCAGCCGGTACCCAAGAACCAGTCAAAGATGAAAGCTGTAGGGAAGGGGGCGGGGCCTTCAGTCCGGCTGCCAATGGAAAGGAGCAGTCCGAGGGTGCGGCAATCCCTGAGGGGGCTCGGTAGTAGATCCCAGCTCCTATCTTGGCGCGGTTGGAATACTGTCCTGTGGAGCCAGGCAGCCGATTTTCGCTGCACTGCCTTTCGGGCCCCCAACAGTGCTCAAAACCGGAGCAGAAAGGTCTCCCGCCCTGGGAACACGAGAAGCCGAACAGAGACGACTTAGGCTGCACATAGCCTAAAAAGAAGTCAGGGCACTGGCCATACCCCTGCCTCACTACTCATTCACGCCACTCAGTGGGAATAAGCGGCGGCAGAGTGGTCCCATCACTGATGCGGACCCGCTATCTCGGTGCCTCTAGTTTTCGCTGCGGGCCGGACGCCCTCTGCGACTTACGGGCACCTGGCGCCACCTGCCGGTCTCAGGGTGCCTTGCAACACTTCCCAGGCTCGCCGCATTCAAAGCCAAAAGGTGTTCAAGAGTTAAGGGTGGGGAAGTTACAGGGGCAGTCAAACTTTCTAGTCAAAGGAGTCCCCAGGTGGCCTGGAAAATTACTGTATAGAGTCCCTGGACTCCACCCCAAAACATACAAAATGTGAACGGCCTAGAATCTGTACTTCTAAAAGGCACCACCACAAGTTTGGAGAATAGGAAGGAGCGAACATAAAAGCAGAGTTTTAAGTTCATTCTTTTTGTTTCCATACTTCCCCCCACCCCCCACCCCCCATACTGGGTTTTGAACCCAGGATCCTTGTGCTTTCTAAGCAAACACTATAACACTGAGCTACATCCCCAGGCCCAAGAACTTATTTTTGTTTTTTGTTTTTTTTTTCAGTTGTCGATGGATTTTTTTTTTTTTTAATAAGTGGTGCTGAGGATCATCGCTGTACCACTGAGTTACAACCCCAGCCCCCAAGAACTTCTCTTAATTACACGGACCAAACCCTGCTTAGTTCATAGGTCACTCAGGAAAAATAGTCTGGAGACTTCCTCAGGACTCCCAGGTCATTGCACTTGGTGGTGGCAGAGTAGCACTTAACTGGTTTCTCCACTCCCCCCCCCCCAGTTTAAACATTGGAAAAATAATGGCTTCCCACCTTTTTTTTTTTAATTCCATAATAAGCACATTGTCCTCTCTTTTTGTAAACACATCAAATGTTTCTGATTAACTTCTGGTACAGTTAATTTTTGTGATAAATGCAGTGGCCTCCTAACCAGTTTCTCCTCTTTTACACCTGTCCCCTTTTTCAATACAATAACCAGTGATCCTGTTAAATCAGGTCTTGTCACTCCCTTATTTGAAACCCTCCCCTGACTCTCCATCTCATTACAGTAAAAGCCAAAGGACCTACAATGTCCTACAGGCTCCACAGGCTCAGCCCCTCACCCTACCTCTCTGACTTCACAGGGTACTGCCCCAGCCAGGCTTTTCTCCTGGCCCCTCCCGGTCACTCCAGGGATATCCCCTTGGAGCCTTTGCACTTGCTGTTTGTTTCCTGTGCCTGGGACTCCAGTATCACATAACACTCCTTCAAGTCTTTGTGCAAAGGCCACCTGATTTTAAACTTGTAAAAAACACTCCCAGTACTCCATCTGGGTTTTATTTTACTTCAAAGCAAAAATCACTTACTTATATTCTATGTAAATTGTTAATTTTGTTGATTATCTGTCTCCTCCCAGTAGAACTTAAGCTTTCTCTGAGGGTAAGAATTTTGTCTGTTTTGTTTACTGCTGTGTCTCTGGGGCCTAGAACAATGATAAGTATTCAGAACAATATGTGGAAAATATTAAAGAAATGAAATAATTTTATTCTGATTATTTAAAATAATATTCTGACTCTAGTTTCTACCTGTTTTTTTCTGGTGCTGGGTCTTCTACCCTATGTGTGTGTGTGTATGTGTGTGTGTGTGTGTGTGTGTCTGTGTGTGTGCTCACGCGCACGTATGTGTGTATTTTTTTCTTTGGGGGTAGTATTGGGGATTGAACATAGGTGTGCTCTACCACTGAGCTACATCCCGCTTTTTAAAAAATATTTTTCATTGTAGATGGACACAATACCTTTCTTTAACTTATTTTTAGAAAAGTCTTGCCAAGTTACCAAGGTTGGCTTTGAACTTGCCATCCTCCTGCCTTACTTAGCCTCCCAAGTTGCTATGATTACAGGTATGTACACTGTGCTTGGCTTCATACTGCTATATTTGAGAAATCAATTCAGATGAAGAAAATTTGATTCATAGACTTGGCATGAACTTATAAGAAAGCCAATATTTTTCCAATGTTTAAATTGAGAAAGTTTATTAGAAAGAATTGGGATTTTTAGAGAAAACTGACCAAGACTAAGGATATACATGGACCTTCTAAACCAGTTGATTGAAAATGGAACCATTTTAACTTTGTAAAGTGTCTACAAGTATGTTTAAGGGCGCTGAGAGGGAAGGTGATTAGGGCTCTCATATGCTGAATGTACACTTTTGGAGTAGGAATATGGAGAAGTGGGAGAAGAAGAGCTTGCCAAATCTACAGACATTTCCTGAGCATTTCAGAGAAAATGACAACAGTCAGGAAAGTGTGGCATTCAGCAATTTAGAAGCCAGTTAGAAATGCAAGACTTTATAGCAAAAATGCCAGAAAGGAAGCTGCCTAAACAATTTACAATATAAAATAAACCAAATTCAAGTTCACAGGAGATCACTCAATGGTCTGTATCCCAAATGGTGGGTAATGGTTATATTCTTCATGTACACCTAAAACACACAGAGAAATCTACATACCTAAACCCAGTAATTTTTTCTTAGCACGGAGGATCTTGATCTTCAAGTTCAAAGACTTTCTAGCTCAAAGAGCTGTCCTTTCTCTACAGAGGGGCTGTTAGCACAGGCTATGATGATTTCTAGGGGCTTTCCAACCTATTAAATTATAGGAACAGAGAGCAAGGTCAATACATGCTTCTGGAGGTCTCTCCTGAAATGTGAAAATACAACAAAACGCTGTATTCTGACCACATTTCAACTACATAAACAGCTACAAAAGGTCTGAGATTGTTAAATGGTTGCTGCTGAATCTAATCCTAGCATGGTTCTGACTTTGGTTGACCTTGAGCAAGTCATTTAGCTACAGCCAGAACCTCCTTGCATATACCTTCCCTAACCAAACCCCTCCTGCTGGAATCCTTCACTGGATTCTAATCCTAGCCTGGTTCTGACTTTGTCTGACCTTGAGCCAGTCATTTAGATACAGTCAGAACCTCCTTGCATATAGCTTCCCTAACCAAACCCCTCCTGCTGGAATCCTTCACTGGATGCCAACAGAAAAGGGTAACTGTTCAATTTTCTCATCTGCACAGAAGAAACATCCAGATCTGCAAATTCTGGCATTAGATCTGTATCCAGACCTAAAAGTTTTGGGGAGTTTGATGCATTTGATTTTCTCAAACATTGCAAATAAAATGCTAAATGGCTCTCTATACATTTTGTTTCTCAACATAAAACTCTAAATTTATAAAGAATCCCCTCCCAATGGCCTACTTGTAGAAAAGTATTCAAAGATTCAAAGTTATTGCTGATGACTTTTTTGTTTTGTTTTGGTTTTTTGTACCAGTGATTGAACCTGAGGGCTCTGCACATGCTAAGCACATGTCAGCTACACCCTCAGTCAACAGTGGCATTTTAATCGCACCAGAACACAAAGTCTTCAGGAAAAAAAAACAACAAAAAACAGGAACTAGAAAAATGCTCGAGTTTCCCCAGTTTGCCCTAGAATCATATCTATTGGCTCCAGAGAGATTTCTCAGAACCAGACTATCCACTTGCTTAATACATATAACTGTTATGTAAAATGAGAACTTTTCAAACAGTTAGCAAGAATACCAAAGCAAAATAAAATCTGCAAGGCCATTTTCTATCTCATGAGTTCTTTCCAGGCCTTTTGTTTAGGGCTTTCCCATATACCTCCTTTTTCTAGATTTTTCTGTACATTGTTACTGGGGTAGGAAGAGAAAAAAAAGATGGGGCTTTTTGATGGAGTTGTGAAGAAAGTTTTTCTCCTTTGAGAGGTGTCCACATTCAGTGGGTACCATTCTTCCCTGGAATCCAGAGACTATTGGTTTCAGTTGCCTAGAAAAGTGGGTGTAGGGGCTGAAGCTGTGGCTCAGTGGTAGAGCACTTGTGAGGCACTGGGTTCAATCCTTAGCACCACATACAAAAATAAATAAAATAAAGGCATGCTGCCCATCTACAACTACAAAAAAGAAAAGTGGGTGTGAAGAAAGCCACCATAAACAATGACGCCTTGCCCCTTTCTGCTCTGCCTCCTCTCTGCCACTCTGTCCTGCTACTCCTTGATGTCCCTGGGAAATGGGCCCCTCTACACGGAAGCCTTGGGATTGGACAGCACCCCACACCTCTACTGCCTTCTCCCAGGAAGCCTGCCTTCCCACACAAAACAAGAGGGCATGGGCAGCCCCAAGAGGTCTGCACCCTGTGCTGTCTTCTTCTCCCTTCCTTGCTCCTCCTTGACCCTTCTGGGCTACTCAGGGAACAATGGTCTGCCAGTAAAAGTCAGCCATTTGCCTCCCTCCAGCATCCCTTCCCTCCTGACTGCCAGGCTCTGCAACTATGTTTTTTTCCTAGAATCTTCTATAATGTTCTTCCTGGCTGGCGTCTCATGCCTTCAGCTCAGCCTTGGACAAAGGTGTAAGAAAGCTTCCAAGCTCATTTCTCCTCA